GGGGGGGGGGGGGGGTAGGGGGAGACATGAGACCACCCCAATAGGAACATGGGGAGGTGGGGGGGGCTCCAGCCTCACGCCAGCACAGTGAACGCAGGAAGTTTATAGAGGGCTTTACAGAACAAAGCTACTGAAATCAGCCACACGATGGCCAGACATAAGGGACCCCGGCACATCCCTCCCACCCCTGCACCCCCCCCCCCCCGCCACGGTCACCCACTGTCCGAGGAGCTGTGGGGGGCTGTGGAAGGGGAGCGACGGCGGCGGGCGGGGGTGCAGGGGGCGGTGGCGGGGCAGAGACGGGGGGCCCAGCTCCCCAACAGCTCACGCTGCTGCTGCCCGATGGCTTGGCTGACGAGCGCCGGCAGCGCCAGCAGGCTCAGCCCCAGCGCCTCCAGCTTCCCCTCCAGCGCGCTGATGCGCTTCTCCAGGTCCTCGTTGCGCTCCTGCAGCTCCGAGACCATGTCGTACATGATGTTCTGGGTCTGGAGGTGGATGGCCCAAGGTGGGGGGGGGGGGGGGGGGGGCGCCAGACAGGCGATGGTTACCCACGCGGCCCCGTGCCATGGGTGCCCCCGGGGCTGAGCCCCCCTCCCCGGCAGCGCTCACCTTGGCCAGGTCCACCAACGTGTTGGCCTGGTCGTTCAGCTTGCGCTGCTCCATCTTCACGCTCCTCAGCCTGTGGGAGAAAGGGGAGTGGGGGTCAGTGTTGCCTCGTGGGGTCCCCCTGGCCCCCAGCATGCAGCCAACGGAGCCTCCCAACCCCGTGCACGGGGGGCTCCGAGATTCCGCAGGACCCTGAGACTCCCAGGGATGCCCCCACGCTGTCAGCCCACCCCCCCTCCCCGTTTTGCAGCACGGCACCATGCACACGGATGGGAACGAGGGAGACAGGCACACTTACTTCTGAGCTCTGCAGGGAGGGGGCAGAACAGAGACAGAACACAACAGCGGGTTTAATACCGACACCGAGAGCGCACGGGGACCACAGCAGCATCCCCTATCCCACCCCTATCCCACCCCCAATCCCCCCAAAGCAGGAGGCACCGCGTGAAGCCAGACAGCGGGTGCGTTTAAGGGACCCCCCC